CCTAAGGTGATATGCTGGATAGTCTCTTGACAACTCAGCATCATCCTTAACCTCTTTAAAGGCAGGAACTGTACTTCCAGAATCTCCTTCCCTGTAGGATTCCAGGTTGGATTCTGTCAATGAAACTAGTTCAAGATTTAGAAGGCAGAAGAGAAGGATGTCATTGTTTTCCAGAGTTAGGTACTGGAAGACGCATGGACAGATGAAGGTTCAAAGCTGCGTACAGATAAACTTCTTGAGGAATTCTAGCATCCATGTTGCTCATTAAGATAGCTGATATGGGTGGACACATGTTGAAGCTAATAAAGTTGTGATTTAAGGGCTCCTTTCTTGACTTCTAAGATTGGGAAAGTGACTTGACAATTTTGTATTCATTGTTTCTTTCTTCTTTCTTTTCTTTTTTTTTTTTTTAAGATTTTATTTATTCATGAGATACACACACAGAGAGAGAGAGTCAGAGACACAGGCAGAGGGAGAAGCAGGCTCCATGCAGGGAGCCCGATGTGGGACTCAATCCCAGGTCTCCAGGATCACATCTGGGCTGAAGGCAGGCGCTAAACCGCTGAGCCACCCGGTCCGCCCCTCATTATTTTTTTCTTAAAGAGAGCTATGTAAATTACATAAGCTTTAAGTCTCCCTAAACCCGGCTGTAGCCTTGAATGGTTGAGAGTCTCCTAGAGAGATCCTGTGATTCTGGTGGCTTTGGGAGAGTTCTCAAGAATCACTGGCTCTGGAGCTGGATTCCAAGATCTTCAATGGTCCTCTTGGATTTTTCTCTCTCACCTCCACCCCCCTACAGACCTGGAAGTTGTGGAAGCTCTAAGTCCCTTCACACTAGGAACAGAGTGGCTTTTATTTTCATGATGTAGTCAATCATTGCTTAAAAATGATTGATCCAGGGATGCCTGGGTGGCTCAGTGGTTGAGCGTCTGTCTGCCTTCGGCTCAGGGCATGATCCTGGGATCCGGGATCGAGTCCCACATTGGGCTCCTTGCAGGGAGCCTGCTTAGTCCTTGGCCTGTCTCTCTCTCTCTCTCTCTGTGTCTCTCATGAATAAATAAATAAAATCCGTAAAAAAATGATTTCTGCCAACAATCAGGTTACAACTCATTTTTTGTTGTTGCATTTAATCTCAAAGTTAGGAAATGACTTATTTATTTATTTATTTATTTATTTATTTATTTTATTTAAAGATTTTTATTTATTTACTCATGAGAGACACACAGAGAGAGGCAGAGACACAGGGAGAGGGAGAAACAGGCTCCATGCAGGGAGCCTGACATGGGACTTGATCCCAGGTCTCCAGGATCAGGCCCTGGGCTGAAGGCGTTGCTAAACTGTTGAACAACCGGGGCTGCCCCTCTTTTTCTTTTTTTTTATTTTATTTTTATTTTTATTTTATTTTTTTAAATTTATTTATTTTATGATAGTCACAGAGAGAGAGAGAGAGAGAGAGAGAGAGAGAGAGAGAGGCAGAGACACAGGCAGAGGGAGAAGCAGGCTCCATGCACCGGGAGCCCGATAGGGGATTCGATCCGGGGTCTCCAGGATCACGCCCTGGGCCAAAGGCAGGCGCCAAACCACTGCGCCACCCAGGGATCCCTTTTTCTTTTTTTTAAATGACATTCTCTTACAATGGAAATGATAGTGAAAAAATTTATTTAACATCACATGAAAAAAAAAAAGAAAATCGTAGTGCAAACTTCAGTTTAGTACACACTGGAAACTCATAGCATAGCATTTTGGCATATAGTGTGCGCTTGGTAAATACCTGCTAAGTGAGTGTGTGAGTTAGTGAGTGAATGAAAAAGACTTTCTATGTATCTATCCAAGTTGCTCTCTAGTTCTGATAATTAAGACCTTGGACTGCCTGGGTGACTCAGTGGCTTAAACATCTTAACTCTTTATTTCAGCTCTGGTCATGGTCTCAGGGAGGTGAGACAGAGCCTGTGTTGGGCTCTGTGCTCAGGGTGGAGTCGGCTTGAGATTCTCTCTCTCCCTCTCCCTCTCCCTCTGACCTTCCTTCCCCTCTTGCATGCCTGTGCACTCACATGAGCCTATGCACACTCTCTCTAAAATAAATAAACAAAAATCTTAAAAAAAATAAAACAACATAGATTTTGTTTGTTCTAACTAATTATCTCTGGATTTATTTAGCACAATACCAAGAATTACCAGCTGCTCACTGCTTTTTCTTGGATGAAAATGATGAGTAGCTTTGGGAGTCATTCCAGCACAAAATTCTAGGAAATCCCAGGATGCATCTGTAAGTATTTTAGGATCTTCCAGAGGTTGGAGACCACACCTGTTAATTAGGAAATATTTTCCAAGGGTGAATATATACACAGGTTTCCCTTGCTATTGGAATGTAGAGTGTTTCCATGAACCTAAAGTGGTAGCAAGACACAATTATCATTTATTTTTATGGAAACATTTCTGAGCATTCCCAGACCCAAAAAATAACCTCTCTTGGGCTTTTATGATACCTTAGGACACATCTTGCTAACAGATGCACAAAATAAATCAAGATAAAACACAGATGCTCACAGACACAGTTCAAAGCTATGGCAGATCCAAACTGAGATGCTGAGTGTGCTTCCTGGGGCAGGAGCTTGGCAGGGAGGGCCACTCTCACTGCTCCGGGTGCACACTGCTCTCCAAGGCCTTGCTCCCAAACAAATGCTGAATACTTTTTTCCACCTGCATTTTTCATAGAAGCAAAATCCTCTCTCAATTTCTTTCTGTTAGGTGGAAACAGGTTCTAATGTAGGTCTTTTGTGAAAGTGAAATGGCTTGACAAGAACTGTTGAAAAGCAGAGGGGTACCTGCATATATTTTTATAAAGGGCTTGAGTATTAATGAGATTGGAATTTGAAGAGTTCAAGCCCTCTCATCTTTTTTCTTGCAATCCAATTCTACATGGTAAACAGCAGTGATAATCATTTTGTGGGATAAGAAAGTCAATGGCCAGTTCACACCAGAATCAATCATGCTTATAACTTAAAGACTAGAATCTTTAAAATCAAGAAATATATTAATCTTGCTTAGTATTTGACCAGGATTCTAAAATATATCCACATGAATATTACCACACTCTCCATATTGAAGTCAAACTAAAATATAAACCTAACATTTAGATGTTTGTAATTTTTTTTTAAAGATAGATGTTGGCAATTTTTAAAATACAGAAGCACATGGAAAAGGAAAAAAATCCGTATTTGGCTATTTTTTTCTTCTGAGAACTTACTTTCTTAAAATATCTTTTGTTTTGTTTTGTTTTTTTTAAGATTTTATTTATTCATGAGAGACAGAGAGAGAGAGAGAGAGACAGAGACAGAGACACAGGCAGAGGGAGAAGCAGGCTCCATGCCGGGAGCCCGATGTGGGACTAGATCCCTTGGAATCAGGCCCTGGGCTGGAGGTGGGGCTAAGCCCCTGAGCCACACCGGGTGCCTGAGAACTTACTTTCTTTAACTAGTATTTTTTCATGATTGGAGTAAGTAATAAGGCTGGATAGTTTCATAATTATTGATAACGAATGTGTTGATCTTTTTGTTGATTTGTTTCCATTTAGTAAACATTTACTGTGTTCTAGGTCTATGCTAGGTAGTGTGTTAGCCAGTGGGGATACAATGATGAGATACACTTGATGGCACCCCACTGGAGGCAGCTACAAAACAGACAATTCCAGGGGGAAGAAAATAGGTAAATGATTCAGGAGTCTAGGACAAGAAGAAAATGAGCTTTGGCTGGACCAGACCCTGACGTCACATATGACAATCTCATCTCCTTTCCATAGCACCTTTGAGAAACTCTCATAAAAGAGGAAACACACTCTCCCTGACATTGCACACTTAGCTTAAATAAACTCCCTCAATAAACAACAATACTAGAATTTATACCTAGGTCTGTCCGGACCGTTTGGGCAAAGAATACCAAATACTCCTAAATTCCAAATAGCCACTGGGTAAGGGTCCTAAGCAGTCCCTCTGGCCATGTGCGTCTAGCATAATCCAGTGCACTCTCTAAAGGCCACGTGGACCCTTCAAACTGGGAATACCGTCTATTGGGTGATCTGCTTCTCTGCACCTCTCATCTCTGAGGTTAAGAGGGCTCAGTTGCTTAAGCTTTTATCAGCTGAGCGACGCAATTGAGGCAGAAGGGAGGATGTGAAGTTACCCAGTTTTCTTCCCCAAGTACAGCATTTAACACACATTAACAGCCCATTAGCTGGTTACCGTGCACTTGGCGTACAGTCTGGTATTTACATGGATTCTCTGACGTTTGCACCTCAATTTCCTTACCTGTGAGTTATAGATGAAATCATCCGCAAGTTTATCTCCTAGGAATAAGCAGCCAAGTAGAGGTTAGATTTTGGTCTCATTTGTAATTGTGTCAAAAATAGCTTCTGGTGGGCAGCCCGGGTGGCTCAGCGGTTTAGCGCCGCCCTCAGCCCGGGGGTGTGATCCTGGAGACCCGGGATCGAGTCCCACATCGGACTCCCTGCATGGAGCCTGCTTCTCGCCCCCCCCCCCCCCGTGTCTCTCATGAATAAATAAATAAAATCTTAAAAAAAAAAAGTTTCTGGTACTTCTCACTCGTCGAAAGACTACACAGGGCTTTGGGAGAGAGAAGCGCCACGTAATGGGGCTCCCCTCCCTTGCTTCGCCCCCAGGTCGGCGTCAGGTGTCACGAGGTCGCGAGGAGGGAGCCCCGCCGCCCCGCCGCAACAAAGGACGCGCGGCGCGGGCCGCTCGGGAAACTCCAGGCTGCGGCGCACAGCCCAGTCCCCCAGTCCCCCAGTCCCCCCAGTCCCCCCAGTCCCCCTGCTTTCCCTCGATGCCCTCCGCCGGGGCCCCCGCGCTCCAGGCCCCCGCCGACCCGCGGCTCGGAAAGGGCATCGGGCGCCTTTAAATGCTAATGAGCGTCGTGCCCAACTCCGAAGCCAACTCTCCCCACCCTCCTCCCTCGCCCGCCCTTCCCTCCCGGGCCGGTGCGCCGCCTAGAGAAACTTGTGCGGGGCCATTTTCGGGGCAGTAAGATCGAGCGAGGAGCCCGAGAGCGAGCGCGCAGCCCGAGAGCTCGAGCCGCCTCCGCCGCGAGACGCCCCCCGGCCGCCGCCGCCGCCTGCGCCGCGCGATCCGCACCGGCCCCCCGAGAGCGAGCCCCGGAGCCGCGCCCGCCCGCCGCGCTAACCGCCCACCAACCGCCGCCGAGGCGCCCGAGCGAGAGCAGACGAGGCGGCATGAGCGAAGCGGGCGAGGCCACCAGCACCACCACCCCCGGCGGCGGCGGCAGCAGCAGCCTCCCGCAGGCTCCGGCGGAGGCGGCCCCCGCGGCGCCCCAGGACCCCGCGCCCAAGAGCCCGGGGGGCAGCGGCGCGCCCCAGGCCGCGGCCCCCGCGCCCGCCGCCCTCGCCGCGGGAAACCCCGGTGGGGACGCGGCCCCCGCAGCCACGGGCACCGCGGCCCCCGCCTCTTCGGCCCCCGCCGGCGGTGAGGACGCGGAGAAAAAAGTTCTCGGTGAGTCGGGCGGCGGGCGGCGGGCGGCGGGCGGGGGCGGCGGCGGGGGCGGGGGCGGCCGAGCACGTGCGGGCAGCTCCGGTGCGGGTCCCCCCGGGGCCGCAGAGCGACAGTCGGGGTCCCCAGCCCGCCCTCGGAGGCTCCCGGGCGCGCGCAGCCCTGCGCTCCCGGCTGCCCCGCGCGCGCGGGTCCCGCTCCGGCTCCCGCTCCGGCTCCCGCTCCGGCTCCGGCTCCGCTCCGGCTCCCGCTCCCGGGTCGGCGGGCTGGGCTCCTCCTCGCCCGGTCCCCCCGCGCGGGCACTGCCCCCGTCGCAGGAGTGGCGAACACCTCGGCCCCAAGGGGAGAGGAGCGAGCGACGGTCCGGGGTGGAGGGGCGGGCACGTGGGACGGGCACCGCGGAGCCCTCGCTTGGGATCCGGGTGCGGAGAGCAGTGCCCTGGGGGAGCAGTCGGGGGCGGGGGGGGGGCAGGCTCAGGTGTCTGTCCCGGACGCCCTTCCCGCATGGGCACGGGAAAGACGCCATGCCCCTGGCGGCCACATGCCGGCCGGGAGGTGTTGCAATCCTGTCCGGGAACTTGGATCTGGGTCCCGCGGCCTCCGCGCTCCCGGTGCCCGCGGCTGCGAAGAGCCAGGCGGTGCTTCCCCGCCGCTTACGCGCTTCCTTCTTCCCGGGCTGTGGGAACGCGCTTGGCGCAGCAGCTGAAAGAACCTGGTGGGTGGTAGGGTGCGTGCGAGTGACGCTGGTTCAAAACCTCCTCCTCCGGGACTTGTAACTTCGGGAGACAGACGGGAATCGGAGCCGCTCAGGGGTGCGGGGCAGGCCAGTGCAAAGGGGCCCTGTGGTCCCTGCGGGTTTTGTCGCCTGTTGGAGCGAGCGCTGTGCGGGCTGAAGCAACGCCCTGGGGAGGCGTTGAGCGGGTTTGCGAAGCAGGTGGGCGGTGAATAGACATTCTCGAGGGTGTCTAAGTCATTCACTCTTTTTTTTTTTTTACATAGGAAAGTTAGGAGGTGGTGGAGGATGCTTCTGAACAATTTCCAGTATTTTGGGTGGGGCGTGTTTGAGCTCTCTGAGCCTTGCCTCCCCAACTTCCTAGGAAGAAAAAGTGAAGAGATAATGTGAACAAAGTGTAAGGCCTGTTGTCTTGGCTTTTACTGAGTTCTTTGAGGAGGGCAACATGCTAAGTGGAACCTGCGTAGGTTTGGAAACAAAATTGCCCTCATTTTGCTGGACTAGAAGTTACTTACTTAAGTCAGGTCAGTGTTGTCTTGTGAGCCTGTTTCCAACAAGTGTGTCTTGGAACACCACCAAGGGAGAGGTGGGAGAGAGACCACCTTGGGTTTTCCAGAGCAGTGTTAGGGTATATTCTTAATGCCGACTTGTTCTTGTATACAGGAGTGTTTGCAGGTTTTCACTTGATCCTTGGACCCTTCTGGATCTAAACTAAACTGGCATTTATTTATTTATTTATTTATTTATTTATTTATTTATTTATTTATGATTTTATTTATTTATTCATGAGAGACAGAAAGGCAGAGACTTGGAGGAAGCAGGCCCCATGCAGGGAGCCCTATATGGGACTCCATCCTGGGACTCCAGGATCACCCCCTGGGCTGAGGGCAGAGGCTCAGCCCCTGAGCACCGCCCCCCCACCCCCACCCCCGTGCCCAGACTGCTGGATTGTAAACTGAAACGCAGGTTTCTTGAAAGATGAAGGGAGCAGATAAATTTCCTTAACATTTCCTTAACATTTCCATGGTGCTGTTAAGCCTCTACCTCATTGCAGGTGAGGATTTGGGAGGTCTTTCATCTTCCTGCTGTAACTCCAACTCTTAAAATGGAGGACGACCTTCTCCATGACATTTCAATACTGCTTGTCCCTGTCCAGTGTGTCCTGCTAGCTCCTCTCCTTTGCCAGGCAAACACCCGGGTGCCTCAGATGGGCCAGGCACAGTACTGACTGAAATGGAATTCTGCTCTTGGGTTCTCCCATTCTACTTCCTTCACACAACCTTTGACTTGAGTGGGTAGCCCTGGGCCAGGGGAGCAGTTGACCTGAGTGAAAGAAAACTCTCCCAAGAAGCCCGGTGGAAGCCTCTTGCTTCTACATGGTCTTCCTCCTGCACTTTCTCACTTCCTCCTCTGAGTCTGGTTTTAAAGCAAGAGGTGTGTGTGTGAATGTTTGATCATACGACATCGTTGGGAATATTTGTGGAACCGGGAAATTTTTTTTTTTTAATTTTTATTTATTTATGATAGTCACAGAGACACAGAGAGAGGCAGAGACACAGGCAGAGGGAGAAGCAGGCTCCATGCACCTGGAGCCCGATGTGGGACTCGATCCCTGGTCCCCAGGATCGCGCCCCGGGCCAAAGGCAGGCGCCAAACCGCTGCACCACCCAGGGATCCCCGGGAAATTTTAAAAAATACTACGTTGGGGAGTAAAACAGGCCTTCAGCCTGGGATGAAGTTAGACTTGAAAGTAGTTTTCAAGGGAAAGGGAATAAAGGGGAAAGGAGAAAAATGAGTGGGCAATGTCAGAAAGGGAGACAGAACATGAGAGACTCCTAACTCTGGGAAACGAACTAGGGGTGGTGGTGGAAAGGGAGGTGGGTGGGGAGTGGGGGTGACTGGGTGACGGGCACTGAGGGGGGCACTTGATGGATGAGCACTGGGTGTTATTCTATATGTTGGCAAATTGAACACCAATAAAAAATAAATTTATAAAAAAATTAATTTTCAGCTTTGTTTCTGTTATATCAGTGTTGCCTTTCTAATCAAGATTATTTGTTTGACATTAACTATGTGACAATGAATCAAAGATTTCCTGTCTTTATATTTTCATTTATAAATTTTGGGGCAAACAAAAGGTGCCACAAAAAAGCCTATCCTTTGACACACGATGAGATACTTTATGTTGGCAAATTGAATTTAAATAAAATTAAAACAAAATAAAACCTATCCTTTGAAATAACATGTGACTTAAAAGCGTAAGGTTTATGGAAAATGAGTGTCTTCTGTGTACCTTTAGATCTAAAAGATGGTGGTGTTTTTTTTTTTTTTTTTTTTTCTTTCTTGACCTGCTCTGATGACAGTAGCCTAAAACTAAGATTCCAATGGTTCAGTGTCTTCAGTAGAGAGATCTTTGTTACTGGGACATAGAGCTGGAGATTGCTCAGTCAGTGGTGGGGTGAATGATTTTGGAGGCATAACGAGTTGTTCTTATTTTTTTTTTACAAAGAGAGCTAGACTATTTCCTTAAACATATCAGTATAGCAAAACTCAGAACTATGCCCACAACAAAGCTGTCCTAGTTAATATTTTAGTCTTGAATTTAAAAACTGAATCCTTACTGTTTATCCTTGGAAGTTACAGACTTTGCATCTCTCCTAGAGCATGGATTAACGTTGTTACTTTCCTTCTCTTACTGTGCCTTTTTTTTTAAGGTATACTTACTGTCATATTTCCTGTTTCATTGAGTCTTTGTTTTATGCATTTCCTGAACTTAGATGTAGGCCTTTCCTAGAGGTTCTGAATTTAGCACTCAGAATTGGTTCAAAGGAGTCTTCTCAAATCATCCTTGATGGCTGAAATATGCATCTGTGAAGTTGAGGTTATATGACTATATTATTTAGATTCTTTCTGTTGAATTCTGGTGAAGTGTGGTGTTGTACAGAAATTTTCCTATTCTTGATAGAAAGTCGAGACAATCAGGTGTAAGAGGGGGATTTTGTAAAAAAAATAAAAATAAATAAATGCTGAGTTTGACTCTCCCCAACTGTGGAGATAGGGTAAACAATGAAACAGAAGCCCAGATTCATCACTATGGTTTGGAAAGGCCTGTTACATCATGTCTCGGGGTGGTGAGTACAGACTGGGATTGAGACAGCATCAGTTCTATTATTACTCTTGACTCCTCTGATGGGCCCCCATGTGGCAACTAGACAAGTTACGTTATGTCTTTGTAGATTAGCTACAAAACAGTAGCTTTGTAGGAGCTGCTGTTTCACTAGTAAAGTTTGCTTAAGGTGTCAAAGTGTGAAAGTGATGTGTTAGGGTCATTGGGACTTAACCTTGTTTATCTACCTTCTCTTTCATTGTGACCCTTCTTTTGCACTTAATAATTTTTCAGCATTAAAGCTTTCATCTTAAAGAGTATTTGTGTGTGTGTGTGTGTGTCTTTTTCCTTTAAACAATGTTTGCCAATTTTAATTATTGCAGACTTGTATAGACTTATGACCACAGGTTATCTTATGACTTTACTGAAAAGTTTAACAAGAGAGGTTTACCCTTCTGAAAAATATTTTCCTATGAGATCTTCCCTTGTACCACGTTCTTTTCCTGTGTTTTAGAATTAAGCCTTTAATGGCTTCCTCAGGTATGTTTAGGCTTTATGTAATGCTATCAAGACCTTAGTGATATGAGCTTTATCTCTTTGTAGGTCAGATACTAATTTATCTGCTTAATCTTATTTTAGCCACCAAAGTCCTTGGCACTGTCAAATGGTTCAACGTCAGAAATGGATATGGATTTATAAATCGGTATGTGTGTGTATCTCTGTACATGTTTGAAATGCATGCTTGCTTTATGGCACCAGCAGTTCATAAACCCTTTACTATGCTTTTTAAATGGCTTATGCAAGTTTATTGTTTTGTTTTGTTTTTAATTGATGGCTGGAGTAAGTTTTAAGGTTGTAAGCACTGCAAACATTCTTATTTCTAAGCTACTGCTGATTAAATATTAATTAAAATACATTTCGAGAATACCGATAAGTAATGTATTTTATAGAATTCAATCATTAAAAGAAAAAAAAGATGAGGGAGATAAATGAGAAATGGGAAGGGCCTTTGGGTAATTGGGACCATATCCATGATTTCACGGATGGAGAAATGGAGTCTTAGACTGGTTAAGCAACTTCCCTAAGGTCACACAACTAGTGAGTAATTGAGCTGGATCTGTAAGGTCTGGCCCAAGTCCCATGTAGAAAGTGTAGTGTTTTCTTTAAACGATGATAACTTCTAATTGTATAGAAACAAGAACACAACTATCGGCTCTTGGGAGTATGATGATATTTTTACATGATATTGTCATTTTCTTTGCCTCTCCCCCATCCCCGTGCCTTTAAAATACTTTAATTTCTTCCTTATCTGATTTGGTGTGTGTGTGGGGGGTGAGTTAGGGCAGGATGGGGGGTGCTGTTTTAGGTTTCAGTGTAAGGAGAGCCTAGTTCACAGCTGTGCCCTGTCCTTTTAACTGTCTTGCTTTGCTTTTACTGGGAGGGAAATCTAGGGCTCTGATTACATTCCATGTGATTTAGGAAGAGTTGAGAGGGAAGGGGATGAGAGGGACCATTTCTGTAGAATCTATACACTTGGATCTAAGCACTCTAATAATATGGAGGAGTAGGACAGCTTTGGAAGTTTTCCACAAGGACTGATTGTAGGCATCTGCATGAAGTGGAGAGGATAAACAAAAATTTGTGTTGTCTTTTTGAAGTCTTGCGATCTAAACTCATAAAACATCTGTTCTTTTAAGTTTCTGTATAGCCAGTACTTTTTATTTATGAACTTTTTTGTCTTCCAACAGAAATGACACCAAAGAAGATGTATTTGTACATCAGGTAAGGATACTAAATGTGTTACATTTGTTCTGTAATCTCAGGTTGTCTCTTTTCCACAATGAAGTCCTGTAAGCTATTATTCTACTCCTAAACTCTTCCTGTGATTTTTATTTTGGCAAGGGATCTCACTTCCACATTTTAAGATTGGCAGATAAACTCTTCTGTCCCTTCATATTAACTGCTTTTAGGTTTGCAGTTGGGTGGAGTAATATTCCGTTCACCAGTTTCTAATTTTTAAAGCCTTGAGTCCTTAACAGGACTTTGTTTCCATGTTAGCATCTTATTTTCCTGACTTTGTGGTTCCTCCTTAACATTTGGCTGGAACTGATCTGGCTTTTGCCTGGGTGGGTTTTGGTGAAGGGCCCTCTAGCAGAGTAGTTCTGACTTGAAGTAAGTCAAGCACAGTGAAGCAGAAGGTCAGGATGTGTGTGTCCAAGGCATGAGAAAATGCCCTGACCCCCAGGATGGTCCTCACTGCTGTTAAAATGAGGCATAGTGAGCACCATGTCCAGGTCAAAAGGTACACATTCCCTTGGATTTGAAGGAAATGTAGAAAATGGGTACAATATGGGAAACATGGGCTTCTCTACTACCAGTGTCTCTGTCTTTCTTTAAACTCTGGCCTGGGATGCTATTTATTTCATTGTGTATCCTGGACCTGTTTCGCATTCTAGGTTAAAAAAAGAAATGCCTCCTCTTGTTCTTTTTGTATATTTATTTTTCAGCAAATTGTTTCCAATACACGGGTAGCTCTTAGTGTAAACAGGAGAAGTCTAGAGCCAGGTACTAACACTAGGACATTTATTTGCAGAGTTCTTTTTTTTTTTTTTTTAAGATTATTTATTTATTTATTCATAGAGACACACACACACACACAGAGAGAGAGAGAGAGAGAGAGAGAGAGAGAGAGGCAGAGACACAGGCAGGGAGAAGCAGGCTCCATGCAGAGAGCCTGACATGGGACTCGATCCTGGGTCTCCAGGATCAGGCCCCGGGCTGCAGGTGGCACTAAACCGCTGCGCCATCAGGGCTGTCCTACCTGCAGAGTTCTGTCAAGCATCTGGTTTTCTGTGCTTTGGTTTCCTTATGTTTAGGGTTATGTGTGATTTTGGGGTGGGTGTGATGAGCTAGTGATAGTTAAGATTTTGAGGTGGGTGTGATGAGCTAGTGATAGTTAAGATGAAGCTCTCCAGTTGTGGTTTCTATTGTTTATGTTTCCGCTAGACTGGATATAATTCAGTTGTACCTCGATAATCCGGATAGATTTTTTTTTTGTTGGGATACAGAGACTTTTCAAGTCGTAACAGACTGAAAAAGAGTATTGCTTATAATAGCTAGAGGTTAATAGACCTTTTGGATTGGGAACTCTGGGTTTGTTGCCTGCCTGAGTTAAAGGACCTCACAAGTTTCGGTACCGGTGGCCAGCATCATCAGCCTGCAAGTCTGTGACCTGATTCCAGCCCCCATGAGGCTGTGTGGTGAGTCACCACCTCACTGTGTTGAGGCCTGCCCAGTTTCACAGGAAAAAGGGAAGGAGTCGGCAGGGAGGGGCTGTTTTTGGAATGGCTCAATGTTCTAACTGCAGCGTGTATATCCTGTCCCGAGCTGCCTTTCTTCCTCTGTGGGTGAGGTCTCTGGCCTATTGGCTCATTTTTATCCCCTCCTCCCTCTTCCCTCCTCCTCAGAGTAAGGGAAGGGCTGGATTACACATGCCTAATCGCTTTATAAAATAAGGTTGACCTAGTTCCACAGAAACTCAGAGCCCCTTTAACTGTTTAGAGCGACCAAGGAAAGAAATGGAAATTCATTGCAGAAATTATTCTCTGCCTCACACTGACTGAGAAGACATATCTTCAGGTGCAGGTGTCTCATGCAGCCTAATATCTTCATTCATTAACCTTTTAATGCATCATCAGGGAATGTGTAGGGGTGAGTGAGATATGAATGGTGTGATGGGGCAAATACTGAATAAATAATCATAGATAACACTGCAGGGAGATGAATTTCCCTTATCCATTCCCCATGTACTTCCAGACTGTTTCTTTAGATTTTCAGCTAAATCGCTTACCAGCTGCATGTTTCCTTATCCATAAAATGGGGTGTCAGGGGGAAGAGGCCAGATTATGATTATCAGTAATGTTTCATTCCTGGGGTAATTTTGTGTATTCCCGTCAGAAATATTTATCTCACTGGCATTTTTAAATTCCTTTTTTCCATTTTTCATCATCCCTCCTCTCCTCCACATAGTTTACAATTCTTTTTGAGGTTAGCAGTTTCTCTTGTCTATAGAAACCTCTCTACCTGAAATGTGTATTTGTGTGTTTATACAGAAATTCATCAGGGCATCGCCACTGCCCTACCAGTGATAGAGGTACGGTCAGAATCTTAGATACTGAATAGTTTGGGGGAACTAATAGTATCGAATATCATCATCAGGCTGTAACAGAAGTATCAACCAAACATTCTGTTTAATCCACCTATGAAGGAGAATTATCAAAGGTAGCCTGAATCAAGAAAATGATGTGGAACAGAGATTTACAGTGTTTTTTTTTTTTTTTTGTTTGTTTGTTTGTTTATTTTGTTACTGTTTTGGAGATCCAGGTTAGTGGGAGAATGATAATTGAAAAAAGTAATAATACAGGCAAACTTGAAAGATGAAATCTGTGGCCAGTATTGATGTTGCTTCATTTAGAATTTTCTGTTCTGTTGACAGACTGCCATCAAGAAGAATAACCCACGGAAATACCTGCGCAGTGTAGGAGATGGAGAAACTGTAGAATTTGATGTGGTTGAAGGAGAGAAGGTGAGGGAATATAGTGGTTGGGTCTCAAAGTGTGCAGGCACATAGTTTTCTTGCATAATAAATGGTCCCCCAGCCTCTTATGAATTAACTTGCCGTTTTGATGGGAAGGAGTGACATTTAAGTAGAAAATTTTGGATTATTGAATATCATTATAAACATTCTTTGGCTTGTTATAAAAGGGCATTTTAATTTCTCATTTAATAAATGATGAACCCTTTGTATGGAGGGAGAAGATAATTTTTTAAAACCTACAGGACATATTTTATTTTGGCACCAAATGTACATTTAAACGTAGGTTAAAATTTAACTTTTATAGCGGTGCCTGGGTGGCTCAGTCAGTTATTTTGCGTTTGCTTTCAGCTCAGGTCATGATCTGAGGGTCCCGTTTCAAGTCCCGAGTTAGGTTCCCTGTTCAGCATGGAGTCTGCTGCTCCCTCTGTCACTCCCCCTACTTGTGCTCTCTCTCTGTCAAATAAATAAAATCTTTTAAAAAATTAGCTTTTATAGTATTTTTTAAAGTAATCTCTGTACCCAACATGGGGCTCAAACTCAAAACCCCAAGATTGAGTTGCATGCTCTACAAGCTGTACCAACCATATGCCCCATAACTTTCATAGTATTAAAAATAAAAGTTGCTTTGGGAAAAAGAGTTCTTTTATAAGGATAAAGTTTTCATGCTGTGGTTTGTAAGCACTTCTGGACAAATAATATACAGAAAGAATGTTTTAATCTCAATAGAAGATTCAAATTTTTGAATTTCATTTATTTGAAGATTTTATTTATTTATGTATGTATATGTATGTATATGTATGTATTTATTAGAAATCGTAGAGACAGAGCATGAGTTGAGTGGGAGGGCTAGAGGGATAGAGAGAAGCAGACTCCTTCCCAAGCAGGGATCTCCATGTGGGACTGGATCCCAGGATCCTGGGATCATGCATGACCTGAGCTGAAGGCAGATGCTTACCCTACTAAGCCACCTAGGTACTCCAAGAAGATTCAAAATTTTTTTAAAGATACATTTGTTTGAGAGAGAGCAAGTGTACAAAGGAGCAGAGGGCAGAGAGGGAAAGAGAGAGATTGTCAGGCAGTCTCCCTGCTGACCATGGAGCCCATTGTGGGGCTCAATCTCATAATCCTGAGATTGTGTCCAGAGCCGAAATTGAGTCAGACACTTAACTGAGCCACCCAGGCACTCCAAAAAAAAAAAATTCAAATTTAATGTAATCATTTTGTTTTCTCTTTGGCTTTGATTTTGGAAAGCCAGAGACATCTTCAAAGACTGTGTAACAACTTTGTTCAGATGAAGAACAGCAAGGAGCTAATGGATCATCTTGAACTATATCTATAGAACTCTTTTTATGCTATTATATATTTATTCCAATATTAGTAATGCCTTTTATGCTTTTTAAAAAATCGGTAGTCTATTATAGACATCACTAAAACAATATGGAATAAAAATAAAATCATTTAAAAACCATATATGGTACGATTGCCATGGTAGCTAATTGTGGCAGCTGAGTGAATGACTAGTTAACTACTATGCACGTGCTCTTTCCATATACATATACACCATTCCATGGTCCACATTCTGAAGAGTTTGTAAACTGTTTTGTTGAAAGAAGAAAGGTTACTGCGTTTAATAGGGAGATTGAAATGATTTCTCTACCAGTGTGATCCATAGGCTGTGTTGCAAATCTGGAGTTTCACATCATCAAATGCTGATATGTAATGCTGATATGTAATGATCTCTATCATCTCATCAAACTCTTAAAATTTTGCATTGCCAAGTTCTTTTTACCTGTGTATGTTTTCAGAACTGGAGATTCTACAAATTGATGTAAAGTGTGAAATAGACTCTTTCGAATCTCTTTTGTCTGAATTGTTTATATTTTTGGAGCACTATTTATCTGTCCATCTGAGAATAAGAACGCTAAGTCTGTTTCAAGGGTAATGAGAAAGTCTAATGTGGCACTACATTAGTGGAACTTAGATCTTGCTAAGTTAAGGACCCATCTTTTCTGTTGCTGCCAAGATGGAGAGAAGTTTTCCCTCTCAATAACTCAGTGCTGGACAGAGCCATTTGAGACTGTGAACGCTATTCCCTAGTGCCTCTTAGAATCACACAGGTCTCAACGTTTTTCTTTTTATTTTTTTTAAAGACTATTTGACTGAGAGAGCGTGCACTCGCACAGAAGCGGGGAGTGGGGAGAGGTAGAGGGAGAAAAGGCTCCCTGCTAGGCAGGGAGCCGGAGGTGGGGCTCCATCCCAGGACTCCGGGGTCATGACCTGAGCTGAAGGCAGACTCTTAACTGACTGAGCCACCCAGGCGCCGGGTTTCAACATTTTTCTAAGAAGATAAGGCCTCAGTTATTTTCCATTGAGGAACATTCTTCTTAGTCTACTATTACTACTTGTATAATTGTGTTATATTTACTAGTTTATATAAGAAGTACATCCTGCTCTTGAACTTAGTATAACCAAGCAAGAAGGAAAGGTTTAGGTTGTGTGAGCAAAGAAACTACATTTTAATCCGTACACCAAGCACCCTGCTCATCCTATTGATACCTGGGTGTGTTGTGGAGGTCACCATAGGAATTCGTGAGTACACTCTGCCTGTCTTTAACATTCTGACTGTACAAGGCTCACTTTTTTTTGGAGGGGGGGAGGGTTAGTTCAGCTTTTGTGGCCATCTTTGTTAATTTTCTTTCTCAGGGTGCAGAAGCAGCCAATGTGACTGGACCAGACGGAGTTCCTGTAGAAGGAAGCCGTTATGCTGCTGATCGGCGTCGATACAGACGTGGTTACTATGGCAGACGCCGTGGACCTCCCCGTAATGTATGCTCTCTTCCTAAACGGTGACTGAAAAAATTCTCACATCTAAATTAAGTGTACACACTTGGAGCAAGTAGATATATTTTCTCTTGGAGGCACAAAATGATTTTTCTTTTTTTCTTTTTTTCTTTTTTTTTTTTTTGATGAGAAATTTTTAGTGCCCAGCATTTATCCATAGCCAAAGGTCTCTTTGGAAACTTGCCATTCAGAAGTTGTATCAGTTTGTACAAATTTGGCTGCAAGTAACAGACAATTATCTTTTAACAAGAAGGCTTAATTAAGATAGTCTGTGCCAGGATTGTCAAAAGGGCTTTCTCTTTATTTGGCTCTTTTATCTGGCCGTAACCTAGTCATGTGGCATGCACTGGCAAAGGGGAATGGGATTTCCATGATTGGTATAAACCTGTTATTCATCTCTTGGCACTAACACTGTTGACCTCTAAGAAGATGAGTGTTTGGATGGCAAGGGAGAATGAGGAATAGCTTGGGAATAGGCAAAAAACAGTACCACCACTGAAGTATTAATTTACCTTGACTAAGTAACTATTTTATTTAGCATAGCATTTTCCCATTTTTTTTTAAATATAGAAGCAGTAAGTAATTCTCCAGATTTTTAGTTCTTTAGATTGGTTACCAAAGTGAAATGGTTTACAACCAAGACTATTGTCTGCAGCTTACTTAGAAGGCTCAATTTAAATTACTCTCAAGGCATCCAAAGAGAATCCCATTCATTTGTGCTCATGAGGATCCCATTAAATTTGAGTCATTTTTTGATGTTTCTAGAATTAGTCCTTGGGATTGGCACTATAGGATAAAACTGAACATGCTTTGTGCACACTAGATTGTGGCTGTGTTTATTATCCAAGGAAACCTTTTGAAAAATCTCACCAGAATAATATGTCTGCAGAATGAGAATGATTTATCCCTCTGCTTTGATAGGTTTGTATCTTTCTGCTTACCTTAATGCTTTCCCTCTTCATTTTGTTATCTTAACACTCTGCCCAAATTTATTTTTGTCAGATACCTGATGACATCTTATTTTTCTGTTTCTGCATTTTTCTTTTCTCTTTTTAAAAAGTTTTACTGGTCTATTTTATTTTGAAAAAATCAAAAAAAATTTTAATTCCAGTTAGTTAACATACAGGCAGTATTATATTGGTTTCAGATGCATTATTTCATAATACAGTGATTCAGCGCTTCCATATGTCACCCAGCATTCAACATGACAGGTGCGCACTCCTTAATCCCCATCACCTATCTTACCCATCTTCCCACTCCTATCCCCCCACCCCCATCCCCAGTTTTGTATTTTTCTTTCCCATATAGTGGTATCCTATTCAATTTCTTTAAAAGATTTTATTTATTTAGTCATGAGAGAGAGAGAGAGAGAGAGAGAGAGAGAGGTAGAGACCTAGGGAGAGGGAGAAGCAGGCTCCATGCAAGGAGCCCGCCCTGTGTGGGACTCGATCCCGGATCCCAGGATCATGCCCTGAGCCAAAGGCAGATGCTCAACCACTGAGCCACCTAGGCATCCCGATCCTATTCAATTTTTAATGAAAACCTGTGCAGGGGGTGAGGAGTAGGAATGAGCTACTATAACATTTATTATACCAAGTTAACTTTTTCAAGTTCATCAGATTCATGGAACTCTAGTTTTGATGGCAGTTGACCCTTGGATAACACATGTTTGAATTGCAGATATTTTTTGGTGAATATAGTACTGTAATGTAAATGTATTTCCATTGTGATTTTCTTAAAAACATTATCTTGTCTGTAGCTTACTTTATGTAAGAATGCAGTATATCATATATATAACATAGAAACTGGGTGTTTATTGACTGTTATTGTTAGGCTTCCAGGCAACAATAAGCTTTTTTAAAAAAAATTATTTTAAACATTCTGCTTATTTATTCATGAGAGACACAGAGAGAGAGAAGCAGATCCATTGGCAGAGGGAGAACCAGGCTCCAAGCAGGGAGCCTGATGTGGGACTTGATCGGGGACTCCAGGATCACACCCTGAGTTGAAGGTGCTAAACCGATGGTCCACCCAAGAGTCCCAACAATAGCCTTTTAGTTAAGTTTTTGAGAAGTTAGAAGTTACACATGGATTTTTGACTGCATGGGGGTTGGCATCCTGAACCTTCATATTGTTCAAGGGCCAACTGTACTTTACTAGGTTAATTCAGAAGTATAAATGGTAGAAAAACTTTAGTGAGAAATTTTATTGAAAGACTTTTCTTCTTAGCTGGAAAGAGCATGTTTGGCAATGGCAGGACCATTATTCTTATTTTGTAAAACTCTTAATGGAAGATTTGGCTATATAAAACTCAAAAAAAATGCAAAAAAGCCCAAAAGGAAGAATAATTTACACAGTTGGTGTATATTTTCTATGCTAATATGTTTTTATATAGTTGGAAATTGTGTCTGATACAGGTTTTATGAAATGTAGAATGGCTTGATTTTTCTGAAATTAGACTAGTCGAGGCAATAGTTGAAAGTTCTCTTTCGGAATTTAATTGCCCATGTGGCTGGTCCTGGAGGGTTCTAAATCTTAAATATACTCACCTCCAAAATAAATGGGTTATTATTTTATTAGTTTTAAATTTATTCATTTTTGAAAACTATAATTATTTCTCTTGACTATCTTTGGTATTTGCATATCTATATCCTTTAAGATTTGAAATAAATTCCTTGAGAGATTTTTGGCTGTTTGTTTTTTAATATAAAATATTAATATGTGATATGGTGGTTAAAAATAGGAAAAAATATAGGTCAATAGTTTCTGCTGTTATTAAGGCCTATATTTAGAAACTGTTTCTATTACTTACTACTATAAAAGTGCAATAAATACTTTATTCCAAAACATGTATGGAGAATCATGCCATGAATCAGTGGTTCTCAAACTTTTTGGTTTTTGGACTCATTGTATGCTTAAATATTATTGATGACCCCAGAATTTTTGTTTGTATGTTTATATCTATTATTAATACTGTATTAACAATTAGAGCAGCCATTTAAAACATATTTAATTGATTTAAAATAAGCTCCTTACACAAACACCATTTTTAATGAAAACTATGTTTTTCAATTGAGTGAGAAGAATGATGTTGCTATATAGTTTTGTAAATCTCTCATAATTGGTTTGATAGAAGCCTTCTGGATTTTCATCTCACATTCTGCATTCAGTCAGCTTAGAGGCTATTATGTCATTGTAGCTTTTTGGTGACCCTCCACATACCCATGAGAGAATAAGAGGGGAAAAGGCAAATAGTGTTCTAGCAGTGTTATATAAGAATGTTTGAATTCTGTACCCATCTCCCCCCAACCCTGAAAGGTTTTCAGAGACCTAGTCCATACTTTGGGAACTGCTGCAGGAATGTAGGACTCCTAGACAAACCTGTTGAATTCCACAAAATATTTTTTTTTCTTGCTCTGCCCTGACTTCGCCCCATTGGATGATAAGCATTGAGAGACACACAGCAGGCAGAGCTAACTATTACCAGCCTTGTAGTTGTTTTTTTTTTTTTGGGGGGGGGTGTGGTTGATATGTGAGAGTCACTAATTCTAATTAGATGCTACTAAATTCATAATTGGTTGATTGCTTTTGCTTTTCTGCTTTTTGATATTTAACTGCACAGATCTACTTTGATCTCAATGTAGTTTATCCCAGGTAATCACATGATTCCCTGGGTTAAATGCATTCTGTCTGTATAATAGAAGGGATTATTCTTTTGGGGGAGTTTTTTTTTTTTTTTTTTTTCTTTTGGTGATACTCATTCTAAGCGGTATTCTTTGGTCCTGTTCTTGCTGAAACTTCTTCTGAATCTCTGTTTCTTTGCTTGCTAGTACGCTGGGGAGGAGGAGGAGGAAGGGAGCGGCAGCAGTGAAGGATTTGACCCCCCTGCCACTGACGGGCAGTTCTCTGGGGCCCGGAGTCAGCTGCGCCGCCCCCAGTATCGCCCTCAGTACCGGAGGCGGTTCCCGCCTTACCACGTGGGACAGACCTTTGACCGTCGCTCACGGGTCTTTCCCCATCCCAACAGAATGCAGGTAAAATTGCACCTGGGACTTGTCTTCAGCAGTCCTCACCCCTCCATCCTTCCTCTGCCTCCTCTTCCTCCTCCTCCTCCAACACCAGCCGCCGGGAATCAAATCTTGCTTGTGGCTTCCTGATGCTGCAAAAGCTGAGGCAAGGCCTCGAGTGTGCTTTTTCAGAGCAGCCATTCTAGTAGCAGTACCAAAAGCATAACCACAGAAGCGTGCCTCTAGTTGGGCACCCTGGTGAACAGGGTATATTTTAAAGTAGAGAGATGGATGGTTATGCATTAAGAGCTTGGACTCTGAAGTCAGCAGACCTGGATTTGAATCTTGTTTCTGCGGCTTGAATCTGTGAGCTCTCAAGATAACCAATTTAATCCTCATCCATAAATGGGGATAATAATATGGTGCCTCTCCCATGGGTTTCTGATGATTAAATCAAAGGTGAAGATTGTAGCACACTGCCTCAGGATAGATAAAATTTCTAAGTCCTTCATTTTATTTATCTATCTATCTATCTATCTATCTAAGTCCTTCATTTAAATGAGATGGCCTTGATTATTAAGAAAACCTAATGTAGATACGGAGATTGTTGATTGGTTATTGATTCTCCTTTTCATTGAGAAATACCGATAGAGCCTTTGCAAACTTAACCTATAATTAATAAACTTTGTACTACCTTGGCAGCTCCAAAGAAACTTGGAAGACTTCGAATAGGATATCTTTTTTGTTATCACTAGCTACAACTTTTTCCTCTTGGTGTCCTTGGTTTTTGTTTTCTGTTTTTCCACTAAGTGTTTTGACTGAACACTATGTTCGGTCTGTTCTTTGCTACCCTTCTCCTGTCCCATCATGCATGACTATGTTCTTTCTACATTGCTGTTTGTTATTATTTCCCCTCCACTCTTTACCAGCTGTCCCTGACGAATGTGCTAAAAATAACGAGTAGACTTGCATATATGGAGAGATTGGGTACATGAGACATAGTAGGTTTCTTTAGGGCAGCATTCTGGGCTTCTAGGAAGTGGAGAACAGGAAGAGTCAGTGAGGTTGTAATACACATTTATTTTTAGGGCATTAGTTGTGCTTTCCTGAAATAATCTTTCTTAGTATTTAGCTAGCACATCTATGTGTATCATTTTTTGAGAACTTGATTCTTTTTTACATTGTTTAAAATAAAGTATGTTTCATCTTAGGAATTGAAGGTTCAGAGCAAGATGATTCTTCCATGCTATCTATGTAGAACAACATTTGCACAAGCTGGTTGAAAACTGATTTTGAGAAACATGTGCTTATTCTGATAATTGCACGGAGGTGTTCCAACTTGAGCTGAACTTCTTACCCATTCCATATGTGAAATAAAAGCTGTCGTTAGATTTCCTTCAACATTTTTTCCTTACTATCTTTCTAATACATACCATGTTTGGATGTTCATTGACTAAAGAAGTCTGCTTAAGACAGTTGACCACATCAAATGAAAATACCTAAAACTCTTTCATATAGCTAGGCTACTTCAAAGTTGTTAGTGTAATGGCTTAAAAGTATAGAGAGATCTCTAGGATGTTAAAATTATTGAAGTCAAATAGAAAAGTCTTTGCATTTTCCACTACATAAAAATTGAAGATTATTGGACCAAGAGGGGAAAAAAATGGTAATATACAGGCCAATAGTCTTTTCCTTATATACAAAGGACATAATATAGCATGGTACATCAGTGACCAAATGACTTTTATTTTTTTAAAGATAATATTCTAGCTTAACTTTAATTTTCACTTGGTAATTAAGTAGAACTGGTTACTGAGCTAATAGCTACTATTTGCAGTCTTTGAGAAAAGAGCTATATGATGGAGAAAGGGAGTATAAATTATTTGGCATTGACCAAGTGACAGATGTTTGAAATCAACTCTCATTCTGTCTTCTGTAGTTTTATAAAATTGGCATGGCTTCTGTATTTTTGTTGGTGTTGTTATAAATGAAGAGATTTGATTATTTTTAAAAATTGGCGACTTTTACATAAGGTTGTGTGGGAAAGAAGTTGTAGAGCTTGATTTAAACTCCGTTTCTGCCGACGTTCTTCCCATCCTATCATTCTAGTAAATTCTAATCCTTCATACATGTTAATTGCTGTTTCTTTCTGCTTTTTGTGCATCAAAGTTCCCTAAGGAAGAAACAGCTTGGCTTATTAGAGAACTCAAGGAAGGCTCCTGTGGTTGGACAGTGAGAGTGAGGCTGTAAGGGGTCAGAGATGAGATTAGGGCGATATCTTTTTTTTTTTTTTTTTTTAAGATTTATTTATTTATTCATGAGAGACCCAGAGAAAGGCAGAGACACAGGCAGAGGGAGAAACAGGCTCCCTCCAGGGAGCCTGCTGCGGGACTCATTCCCAGGAGCCTGGGATCACATGAGCCAAAGGCAGACGTTCAATCACTGAGCCACCGAGGTGCCCCTAGGGCAGTATCTTAGAGCATATCCAGCCTGTCTGGTAGACTGATAAGGACTGCTGACCTACTCTAAATGTGATGAAAAGCCAGTAAAGGGATATAAACAGGGAAGACACATATTAAGGAGCTCATTGGACTATTTATGGAAGCTAGACCACAGGAGGTGAAAGTGGACGTAGGGAGACCAGCTGCTATAATCTTCCTGTGTAGAGTTAGTCATGGCATGGATGAGAATGCTAGCTGTGGAGGTGTGCTCAGTGGCCAGATTTAGAAAATATTTTAAATCTAGAAGTGACAGCATTTGATAATGGAGTGAATGTGTGGTGTGAAGAGTAAAGGATACCCCTGTGATTTCTGATTTGAACAAATACGGGAAGACTGAAGAAATATTGGGTTTGGGGGAAAGTTGGAAATCATCTGGAGATCTTTTCTCCCTCTACCTCCTTCACATTAAATTTTATCTCCAAGTGGAGATGTGAACTAGGCAGAAAAATAAAGCACAGTTGAGAGGGAGAAAATGGCTTGAGTTAGGAAGGTGTCATTTTAGATAAGGTAGTTGACAAAGTCTTTGGGTTCATATTTGAGGAGAGACCTAAGTGAAATGAGGGAGTGAGTTATTTAGGTACCAGGAAAGACCAGGAACAGCAGAGAGAGGGAATGTCAGGGACTGGCTGAAGGGAGTCCGAGGCAGAGAGATGATACTGTGTCGAACTTTGGAGCCATAAGGACATATTAAAAGCCCTGGCACAGATGATGTTAACTATAAAGTGAGTGTAGGTTGAAAAATTGATCCTAGGACTGAGTCCTGGGGCACACTGACAGTGCAAGATGAGGAAGATAAAGGACCAGATAGGGAGAACATATTTCAAGAAGGAAATGCTGCTTTAGATGCTGTTAAGCAGAGGAAGTTGAGCTGCGAATTGATTACTGGGTTTGCTAACTTGAGGTTAGGGTTCTGGTAACGGCAAAAGTCTGGTTAGAGTGAATTTAAGACAGCAAAGGACAAGGAAGAAAAGATTCTCCCTTGAGGTTTCTGTGGTGGTGCGAGTGGTTTTCATTTAGTCTGTATGTCTGTAGAAGACGTCAGAGAAATGGAGGAGGATATAGGATCAGGATCAGGGAAGGATTTTTTGTTTGCCTTGATTTTGTTTTTACATTTAGTGAGTTCTCTCCTGGTCTCCCTAACCGTTCCCTCACCAACAACTTACTCCTAAAGCCATTATAGAGGGGCAAGTCAAATATGCTATACACTCGCACACACATATACACATTTACATATGTGTAACTCATACTGTATACATGTGTATGCGTATGTGTGTATGTATATATATAGGTATTAGGATGTGTGTGTGTTTCTTATGTCTGTCTATACAAATAGCCTGGAAACAGGGGCTCCTTAATAACATTGGGCATACCTGGTCTGCAATTTTTCATTTCCTAATACCATTCTCCAATAAGAAAAAACTCTTGGATAAATGGCTGATTTCAGAGCTGGGCCAGAGAAAGTACAATATGAGCCCAGAACATCTTGTTGTGCCAAAAAGCAAGAAAGTACTCAAAGAATGTTGGAGACATGTCAGAGGGACATGAGCCAGCTTGAAAGGACTCCCATTGGCCAGTAAGGATAGTAACAGATTATAACTCATTGAATAAAATAGAAAACCATGAATCTGTACAGATATAAATACAGAAATGAATATATTGAGAATTTGATGAGGAATGAAATACTTAGAGACTTTGAGAGTACTTCTCAAATTCCTCACTATTTACAAAGAGGGAGAGAGTAAATTTACAGCTGAGCAACCTTGGCAGACACCACCTTAACTACTTCTGAAAGTGAACATAGTCAGTAAGGATACAAATTGAAACCATATGCCATCCAACAGGATGCAATGAGAAGAATGCAGTGTGACTTTGGCTTCTCTGCCAAAGAGCATAAGCTAGCTAAATCATGGGGAAACCCCAAACAACCCCAAACTGAAGGATGTTTTATAAAATGGCCTGTAATCTTTAAAAGTGTCACAGTCATGCAAGCCAAGTATAAAGATCGAAGAACTTTTTCAGGCAAAGAGACCGCTAAATTCAGGGTGCATGGTTCTGAATGGGGCTTCTGGCTGTCAAGGACATTAGCGGAACAAATGATGTTTGAACGGGGATTAAGTTCTGGATTTCCAAACTTTCTGTAAATTTGTGATTATTTTCATTTTATTGCAAAGGACGGATGCTATTTCAGCATGTTTATATGCCTGGATGGAAATGAGGGATTAGAGAAGGGGGATACAGTGAAATGGGGAGGGGAAATGGGGAGGAGGAATAGGAAGTCGATGCCTTCTAGGAGGTAAGAGATGAGTTGGCTTTGGATAGGAGCATGGACCACTCACACCCAGGGTTAGGAGAGGGGAGAAAATGACAACAAACACGAGTACAGTACAGGGGCAGATTTTGAGTGAAGGAATGTGGAAATTCTTTGCTAGTTGCTTCTCTTTTCTTAGTGAAATACAGAGGCAAGGGATGTTAGTATTTTGAAAAAGAAGGTTGAGATGCAGCTGTATATAAAGAATTTCAGAGATGTCTGGTGGGTTGTCTTGTTAGTCTTTAGTCGTTTCTTTTTCTGGGGGCTCCACAGTAAACGAATTTTATACCCCCAGCTTAAAATAAACTGATCATCAAGAAAGTATAATTTGATTTCTTTAAAGATTATAATTAAATAATGCAAAGAGATGAGAGGAGGCAATAGAGGTGAAAGTGTGGTTAAAAGGTATGGGAATACCTTTGAATGTAGAAACCATTAATGGTTGAACGGATACTCTGTAGAATTAGTGGGTCTGAGTTTGAAAAGTGGAAAAGATTCCTATTGGCTCAAATGTGTATCATTTTATTTCATTTTGCAATGTAGGGGCTTTGTTTTATTCTGTTTTGTAAGAGATGAGTGGAACACTTCAAAAGGTTAAGTTAGTATTACAAAATAAAATTAGGTGCTCTGTGATAGGCAAAAAGACTGTTCAAATGGAAATCAGTTATTCTTTGCTATCACTTATGAAGATCTAAATCAGTAAACAGTTAAAGTTGATGGTTCTTGGCTTCATAACAAAGCCTCTTTTTATTTTATTTTTAAAAAAAATTCTGAATGCAACTGTGGGCTCTATGTCTCTTATATCTGGTAGTATGACATTCATTTTTAGCTCTCACTGCCTTCTTGTAGGCCGGTGAGATTGGAGAGATGAAGGAGGGAGTCCCAGAGGGGACACAGCTGCAGGGACCGGTTCATCGAAATCCAACTTACCGCCCAAGGTACCGGAGGTATGTGATGTTTTTCACTAACGACCAGTTGCAGAACTTGTGAGCAAGAGTATAGTGGATGAGACCCTTGTGGGTTTGTTTGATGGATCTGTTATGTAACTGGAAGAAATGGTTGCTTTGACCACATGTCTAAGTTTTGGGGGAACTCTGCAGTATGTCTTCAGATGGCCATGTGACATTTCCCCCCTACTTAACAAAATATTTAGGTATCTCTGTACCAAACTATTGTTATTTGTTAGCTTTCATATGGTATGAATTAATACTTAATTTGAAATTATATTTAATGAAATAAACAGTAAATTAGTTGATGGGTAATTCGGTAGTGGTGCTACAAATAACTGGAGGAAGAAGTGAGCACCGAGAGAGTATTTGAGATAGTGAATATTCTGTTAACCAAGGCAATCTAGATGTTAAGTCAGGCTACAGATGAAGTTGTGTTTAAATTCCCACCTTCCAGTTAGTACCTGTGTCTCCTTTTGAAGGTTCCTGGATTCTTAAGACTTAGTTCTCAGGTTTCTTCTAAGATGGACGTTAAGGAATATTTTATAATTTTTAAAAGTACTAATGGATCTGAGATAATGGTCCCTGGCATAGTAAGCCCTCAGTAAATACGAGGCAGTAGTACACCAGTGATGTTCATATTAGTTGAAGGAGTAAGTTATTTGTGCTTTATCCCTTGTGAAAGCTGAATAATTGGACTACAATTTTTAAGATCCTTATCTTAAGCTCTTTATATCATAAACCTTCCTGTTCCTTCACCTGTTTCCTTGATACATCAAGGAAAAAGTAGACCTTCACTCCTGATTGACATTTCTTCCACATTTAGGTTGGCCACTATGGGTTTCCTGAATACAGAGGAAGTATATTATTTTGGGAAAGGATTGTACCACTCTGTATCCTTTATTCCTCACAAGATTCATTCCAGTTTTAGACATAATCACTCCTTTTTTTTTTTAAAGATTTTTTATTTATCTATTCATAGAGTCACAGAGAGACAGAGAGAGAGGCAGAGACACAGACAGAGGGAGAAGCAGGCTCCATGGCAGAGAGCCTGAGGTGGGACTCGATCCAGGGTCTCCAGGATCACGCCCCGGGCTGCAGGTGGCGCTAAACCATGTGCCACCGGGGCTGCCCGACATAATCACTCCTAATGATCAATTACTGAGGACCTTTAAAATAAGAGACTTCATAGAAATGTTTTAATGAAAACAGAAAGGAGACAGTGGTATATGTAAATTCCAGCCCTGGCAATCCCTGGCTATGCGATCTTTGGAAAACTACATTTTACCTTTTTCGCACTATAAAAAGCAGCATTCCCTATGGTCCAACCAATACTTGCCCTCTCTACCACTTCTCTCGGTTTTCTCACCATAAATCCAACTCCCAGATTTAGCACTGAAATTGAAATTAAGTATTTAACACAAATGTGGCAGTGCAGGCTCTGGCACAAAGTAATGTTATTTTTCCGCCACTTTTAATCCCCGTTGCCTCCACTAAACTGTTCATGGAGGGCAGATACCAGGCATTGCTTTTCTTTTGAAACTTTCCTGTCCTTGTTGCCTGTCAGGTGCCTGTCAGGATCATAGTGTGTCTAATGTAGGTTTATTCACAACAAATAGGTGTTCAGATGAAGGGGGGAAAATGGTGGGAAAATAGGGCTTTTTTTGTTTGTCTTTTTAACAAAATCTCTGTTCCATTTGCTGCATTAGCCTGTGTATAATCCTGGCAATAAATACTGATCACTTAATCTTCAAAAATAAAGATTATTCTTGAGGCCTCCTGTCCCATTGCAGTTGTTCTCTTTCATGTTCTCTGCTCTAGAGGCCCTCCTCGCCCCCGACCTGCCCCAGCTGTTGGTGAGGCTGAAGATAAAGAGAACCAACAAGCAGCCAATGGTCCAAACCAGCCATCTGCTCGCCGTGGATACCGGCGCCCATACAACTATCGGCGTCGCCCCCGTCCTCCTAATGCTCCTTCACAAGATGGCAAAGAGGTAAATCCAAACAGCCAGAGGGGAATGTTGCCAGGTCATCCTTAATCATCTCAGACTTTATTTAATACTTCGTCCTAAGAGTGGCTTGATAACCTGGTAACTGTCAGTTATATAGCATTCTATATAAAGTGTTATTTATAATAACATTTATAAGTATTTTATACCTCATACTATATATTGCATATGAAAGATAATATTTTAATATATATTCTATAATATTATATATCTAATATTAGATATACATTATGGGGAGAGAGAATAGCCTATACATAACACAAACCAAATCTTCGAATTCAGCTAATCAGCATTCTCTGAAAGAATTATGCATACTAATAAGGATTCAGAATTAAAATGTTTAGTGCTCCCCAAACAAAGGATGGCATTTTGAGAGGTTCCTTTCTCTAACTAAACATGTGCTGAAAGCAGTTGGGTATCGGAGACTTTTTGTTATGGAGAGTGGTGGGTGGTGTTTAGTTGCCGTTTATAGGCCTTTCTTCTGTGGTACCAATTTTTGACTCCTGCTTCAGAATAGTTAATTTTGCATAGTAATTTACCTTCATAAGCAGCAAGATTCCAACTTTTGAGACCTTTTGGTCTTGAACATTCCATTGTCATCTGAAATAATTTCTGATTTATGGTGTTGTTTCATGATTTAGACCAAGGCAGGTGAAGTTCCATCTGAGAACCCCGCTCCAGCCACCGAGCAGAGCAGTGCTGAGTAACACCAGGCTCCCCAGGCACCTTTACCATCACCAGGTAAGAGTTCCCTAGGCCGAAGTTGATATTTTCTCTTAAGTATTGTTAACTTCTAGCCTGAACTGGTTTTGTGATTCATCTGGGCCGACCCCTCATCTCCTTTAGGATTCTGGAGAAAGAGTAGTTTTAGTGGTTAAAAATGGGATTTGACCTTATTTTGTTAGGCTTTCAGAGTGTAAACATTTGACAGTTAATGATAGTCTTTTTTTTTTTCTAGACATAATTTTTTTTAAATATTTTATTTATTCATGAGAGACACAGAAAGGGAGAGACAGGTTGAGGGAGAAGCAGGCTCCTCATAGGGAGCCTGATATGGGACTTGATCCCAGGACCCACACCCTGAGCCGAAGGCAGACAGATGCTCAACCACTCAGCCACCTAGGCATCCCTTTCTAGACATAATTTGTAATACTAGTATCTCTTAAGAAAACTTTGAAGGTTTTACTTCTGTGACACCCAGTGGCCAGTTTGAACAGGAGACTGATCTACAGAATAAATTTAGACATTGTTTTTTTCCCTTTGGTAACCAGTATAATTTATTTTGAGGCAGGGCAGTATAATAAGTGGGAACCAAGAGGTTTATATACTTGGTGCAGGACCTGCTACTCCGCACTTGCTGGGTGATACTGCAGTTTGTATCCCCTGCCTCAGCTGTGTCTGCTGCTGATAAGACAGGGATACTGCCTAGATTTACTCACTAGGGTTGTAGAGATTTAGTGAAAGAACAGGTGTGATACGCTTGAACAGGGCATGGTAAAGTGCAACCTCTCCGGAAAGGTAGCTTGACGTCTTTTTTTTTTTTTTTTTTTTGCTTGCCGTCTTCATTGGTGTTTCCTGCTGTCTTTTCTCAGTGTAGACCGTGGGCGTTTTATGTAGGCAGAAATCGAACTAGAAAGACTGGCCCAGTTGTGAAGCCACTCTTGAAGGAATTTTGAAGCCCATAGTTGTTTTCATTCTGAGTTTTTTACCTAGTAACTCCCAGGACTTAAAATGTTTGAGTATTTCTTGGGTTGTTGCCCTTTTCATTAAATAAATAATTCGGTTTTAGTTAAAGGAGGTTGAAGATTCATAGCCTTCCATCAAGACATATTTGCTGTGCTAGGAATATTGTATTTTATCTCTGGGTTGCATGGACAATATATGTCATAGAATTAAACTCCCTCTTTTAAATCTGCTTGCATTAACGGATTTAGAATTGTGTTTCCATCATTTGGCTGTAACCTACTTAGTAGTATTATTTCTAGGTCTTCTAAGGAAAGAATCTAAAATGCAGAGAAACAAATATTTCTACTACTTAGACTCTAACATTGGGAAAGGGCTTAATTTGGGGGTATATTCATATTAGGAGATACTGTGCAGCCACTAAAATGATATGAAGAATTATTGATTCTGTAGTATCATTTATTTGAAAAGGCTTCAGTGACGGTAATTTTCTTTCATATAATTTTATAAAGTTTTCACTACCATGTACTAAATGTTCTGGTTTATAAAAATGTTTTATTAAATGTATAGTTTACAAATCTATAGATTTCTGTTTAGAGCTTCTTGAATTATATTTTTGCCTTTTTATTCTTTAACTCTTTGTCATTTTGTCATTCTAAGTTTGGTTTTCATTTTTTTCCAGGTGACCTAAAGAATTAATGACCATTAGAAAAGATAAAGCATAAAGCAGACCGTGACCTTACCAACACCAAAGAAACATCCAAGCAATAATGTGGAAGACTAATAACCAAGATGTGGACATTAGAATGTTTACTATTATTCTTTATGAAACAACTACAAAAGAAAAATGTCAGCCAATATTTCTAGCAAGCTGAGATCCCGGGAATACCTGCACAAAAGACAAGAGAGCAACCTCCCCAGTTTCAGCAACCACTAGGTTTATATTTTTTTCCTGGTTTTTACTGTTTTGGTAATATGAATTGAAAGAAGAAATATTAATACCACATGGGGGGAACCCCAACCAAAGAAATCTGAAATATATAGTAAATGCTTTTTTTTCCTTTTTTGTTCATTTTGGATGCTGGTGCTAAACTTCCAAGTGTCGTGATTTAAAAAGAAATTTTATGCCCTTCTTATTTATTTCTAGGATGAGGGGAGGATAACATTTTTGCTTTCTTATGTGACTCTTTAAAAATGTGCAGTATGAAGTTCCTCAAGAATAAAATTTTTACCCTTGAAAGGAAGAGGTGTATAACTGTGGAGTATGTTTTCCTATCTTAGTATATGGTTTGTCTTTTCGCATCATTTTATTCACATGAAAAGTAAACTCAGAGCCAAGTGTTGTAAAGGTGCATTTGTGCTCTTTGATAAATGCAGGCAGATGAGTTTGAGACCGTGGGATTCCTCTTGGAAGAGGGAATGAGCCAAGCGCTTGTCTGAGTTTGTCAGTAGGTGTGCTTTGTTGGGTACTCTGTATCTCTTGAATAATCTTCGCTGAGGTGACTCGATGGCCTTCAGATGAACAGTTTTCTTTATATAAATGAAGGAGTTAGGAGTTCTGACCTTCTTGAACTTACCTGACATTTTCAACACCAACTGCCGTTTTGTATGTTTACATGTGTGTCTTTCAGAAAAGAAAGCGGGGGGCACCTTTCCAACTGCACTACAGATTTCTTTCGCCAGGGAAGATGGTGTCCTCAAATTGAGAAATGTTATAGTATATGTCAGTGCTATGTAGTCACTTCTCAGATGCACCTTTCAGATTTATTTATCCTTGAAATCAGGTACATACTGACCCCTGGGTCTGTGCCAAGCATTATTCTAGTGGCCGGGAGGGAACAAACTAACAAAGGATTCTAGTCCCAATGAGCTTGCATTTTAGTGAATGAATATCGAGAATAAACAAATGTGAAATTTAATGTCAAATGTCAATAAGTATTACAAAGAAAACATGGTAAAGGGATAAAGATGGGCATAATTGTAAGAGATATGTTCATTTTAAATGGGAGGGGGTCTCTAAATGATAACAATAAATAAATGGATTCATGAGGTGGGAGTTCAGAATCATTTGAATAGCTAGAGAGAAGAACATTCCAGGCAGAGAGAGCAGATGCAAAGACTGCTGCAGGGAGGGAGTGTACTTGGCCTGTTCAGGAAATGGCAAGCAAGGGAAAATGGATTGTTCAAGAACCCCTGTATTGCCTTTCAAGTTTAAAAAAACACAAAGTTGGTAATATACACAAGGCAAAAATATTCAAAGGTATAAAGTATTTTGTGAAGAAATGTCATCTTAGTTCTGATTCCCTCAAGGCAACCAGGTTTGTTTGTTTAAGTATTTCAGATCTTTTATGTTCCTGGGTATATGTGTGTATGTGTGTGTGTTTGGCAAACATGCAATTCAGGGATGGGGGGGGGAGAGGTTTTAATTGTTGTTATTCTAACAACAAACATTATATCTGATTTTAAAATCCTGTAGGTAGGTTTACTGCTCAGCTGGTGCTCTAATTGCCCCCCTTCCTCTTCCCTGCTCATTTTAAACAATTTTTTTTGTGAAGTTTTTCAAACATTTTTTAAATATCTTAAGACCATACACTTCTTGGCAGACATTTTTTGTCCATCTAATTATCTTTACTGCTATCCTATTATCCAGCATAGGTAGAGTCCTCTTTATCATTTGTACTGACTATACAACATTTCCATTTTATAGCTATCAATAATTTTGTCAGCCCTTTTATTGGATATTGAGGCTCTTAAAAAATTGCAGTTATAAGCACTTTATGTCATAGTGCCAACATCCTTACCTCTAAATTCTATCTTGTTTTGGGTTTACAGTTAATCTATTTGTAGAGAAAAAACAATGTAACAATGAATGCAAAGAGTTGGAAAAAATCTTTGATAGTGGGTGTAACTACAACCCTAAAACACTCATTGAAGGTACACAAGAAAGAATAGGAGTTGGATTGATGTGAGGATGGGCCTGAAATAAGTTCTTGTTTTTTTGTTTTGTTTTGTTTTGTTTTATTTGTTTTTTACAGCAAGAGATCAGGGACTTCAGTTGCTATATCAAGAAACAAAGGCTATCTGGATGGGAACATAGCCAGAGATTAACTAGAAGGCTGTCATCCCATGATCACATATTAGCTGTGATTGGTAGCAAGCTCATGAGTTAGCATATCTGACGGAACAGCACCTGTAGAGAAAACCCCACACAACTGGAAATATTTGCAGGCCCACTATTTGCCAAGAGTGATGCTCTGCTTTTCTTTTTCTTTTTCTTTCTTTCTTTCTTTCTTTCTTTCTTTCTTTCTTTCTTTCTTTCTTTCTTTCTTTCTTTCTTTTTATGCTCTGCTTTTCTATCACAAAATAGCTTAATTGGCACAGTATTCTAAGGAACTTATGCATTTATTGCAAAGGTGCAATGTTTGAAAGTACTTTTGCTTTCAGTGGAATGGAAAAATGTGTGTATGTATATATGTATTTTTTAATTTTTAAAATTTAAATTCAATTCGCCAACATATAGTATAACACCTAGTGCTCATCCCATCAAGTACCATCCTTAGTGCCTGTCACCCAGTTACCCCAACCTCCCCTTCCACAACCCTTTGTTTCCCAGAGTCTCATGGTTTGTCTCCCTCTCTAAATTTTTTCCACCCAGTTTCCCTCCTTTCCCTTATAATCCCTTTCACTATTTCTTATATTCCACATAGGAGTGAAAAATGTATTCAGACAGACCAATACTTTGAGATTTTGAAGTAATAAAGTTCTTTAAATCGTAGAGCTGATGCAGATTGAAACTTCTGGGAGCTAGTACTTGGTTTCAGTTGAGGAGAAAATAAATGTAATCTCTTGACACCAGAGGACTGATTTTGTAAATCATGGCATAAGTGTCTTTCTTGTTTAATAGGAGAAATCTAGAAAGAGACTGGCTGATATAATCTCTAAAAATTAGGTAGTCTTATCCAGCAGAGGTGGATAAACTATATTAGTTTTGTCATTTTCTTTGGGTGAAAGCATTTCATCTGACAATCTAGCTCCAGAATCACCCACGTTTTCTCAATAGGGATGGCAAACTGTACTGGAACTGAAATCCACGTTGGTAACATGACACAGTTTGATTAGCTTGTGGATCCCTCCCTACTCCTCTCTAGTTTGCCCAGTATCCTGGTAAGAGGGTTATAGAAGAGAGGCATGTGATATAAGAGTCCACAAATCACTATGTTTTTACCATAATATCTTCTCGGGTGTTGATCTCACTGTTTAGTTCATAGAGGACTTCACATGGGGTTCAAAATGACTCCTGTGCTTACTGCATGGACATGACACCACTGCTGGCAATAGTCCCTTTTGTCTGTTGAGAACAGAACTTCTCAAGCAATAAAAATACTGGGGATAGTGTGTGTATGTGTGTGTGTGTGTGTGTGTGTGTACTTGCACATGTGTGCATGTATGTGTGCACCTACATGTTTTATTATGAAATTCCTCAACTTATTTTCTAGAATGGCTATTATGGCTGAATTGTTTCCTTCCTAATTTTGAAGTCCTAACCCCTGGTACCTCAGAATGTAACCGTATTTGGATATTAGATCTTTGAAGAGGTGGTTAAGTTAAAATGGGCCCATTAAGGTAGGGCCCTGACCCAATAGAATTGGTGCTGGTACACAATGAGGAAGATGCAGACACTAGAGGCTCATATGCACAGAAGAATGGCCAAGTGAAGAGGCAGCAAGAGGGCAGCTGTTGCAAGCCAAAAGAAGCCTTAGGAGAAGCCAAAACTGCTGGCACCTTGATCTTGGACTTGCAGCTCCAGAACTGTAAGAAAATAAATTTCTGTTCTTTAAGTCGGTCTGTGGCACACTTAGCAGACTTATACATATCATTTTAATTTGCAGCAATGTATGAGCATTTCTCTATGTCCTTTTCAGCATTTGGAATTGTCACTTACAAAATTTTAGCTCTTCTATAGTATGTGTCTGGTGATACTTATTCTGGTTTTAATTTACATTTCCCTAATAGCTAGTGATGTTGAATAGATTTTCATGTGCTTATTTGCCATGTATTTTTCCTCTCTGGTAAAGTGTCTGTTCATGTCTTCTGTAAATCTTTTTATTGGACTTTTTATTTTGTTTTTGGCTTAAACAATTTAAATTTTGAGAATTCTGAATGCAGTTGAGATATGAGCTCTTTGTCAAATATGTGAATTGCAAATATTTTTCCTTCAGTTTATGACTTGTCTTTTTATCCTTTTAACAGTACTTTTTGTAGGGCAAAAGTGTTTACATCTGATGAAGTCTAATTATTTTTTTTCTTTAGGGATCATAGTATTGGTGTCATGACTAAGAACACTTAACCTAAGTCTTGAAGATTTTCTTCTGTTTCCTCTCAGATAATTTTTGTAGGAGAGGAAGATTTTGGTTGGGTTTCAGTTTTTTGCCTGTGGATTTCCAGTCATTCCAGAACCATTTCTTGAAAAACTATTCTTACTTAATTGCACTTATTTTGCTAAAATCCAATTGGCCATACTGAAGGTGGGTTTATTTCTCTGCCATTGATCTAGTTTGCCTATCCCTCCACCAATAACACATTGTTTTGAGTACTGTAAACCTTAAAATCAGGTAGAGTGAATCCTCCTATTTTATCCTTTTTTCAAAATTATTTTAGCTATTCTAGTTTTTTTCCTTTCTTTGTACATTTTGGGATAAACTTGTCTATTTCTAACAAAAAGTCTTGCTGGGATTTTGATAGGAAATGTATTAAATCTATAGATCAATTTGAAGAGGGCAGCCCCAGTGGCGCTGCAGTTTGGCGCCGCCTGCAGCCCGGGGTGTGATCCTGGAGATCCGGGATCGAGTCCCACATCGGGCTCCCTGCATGGAGCCTGCTTCTCCCTATGCCTGTGTCTCTGCCTCTCTCCCTCTGTGTCTATGAATAAATAAATAAAATCTTAAAAAATTTCACGGATTTAAAAAAAAAAAGAAGAGGATTGACATTGTCTTCTAATCCATAAACATGGTATGTGTCTAATTGCTTCAGATCTTTGATTCTTTCATCAGTATTTTAGATTTTAGCATACAAGTCCTGTACATGCTTTGTTAGATCTGTATCAAAGGGTTTCATTTTGTTTTTAGCAATTGCAAATAGTATCGTTCTTAATATCAGCTTTCTCTTCCTCATCACTAGTATATAGAAACGCAATATATTTTTAGATGCAGACTTTTTATCCTACAAATTCAGTGAACTTGTCAGT